ACAATGTCAAAATTGTGTGACCTTTTTACCACAAGTTAATCTTGGAGTCAATCCTAGAGGATTGATACCTAACCATATTTGGCAGATGGACGTCACACACTTGCCAGAATTTGGAAAATTAAAATATTTGCATGTTACAGTTGATACTTCTTCTGGATTTTTGATGGGCTCCCTTCATGCCGGAGAAAAAACTAAAGATGTTATAGCTCATTGCTTACAAAATTTTGCCACTGTGGGTGTTCCAAAACAGTTAAAAACAGATAATGCCCCTGGTTATACTTCTACCTCTTTTAAACAATTTTGCTCAACATTTGGCATTACTCATATAACAGGAATCCCATACAATCCACAGGGACAAGGCATAGTTGAAAGAGCTCATCAAACTATTAAAATGTACTTATTAAAGCAAAAAGAAGGAATTGGGAAGGGGTATATATTCCCCAAAGATAAACTTAAAATAACCCTTTTTACTCTAAACTTTTTAAATTTGGATTCATCAGGACTTAGTGCTGCGGAAAGGCATATGTGTCCAAAAAATGTACATAAGCCCAAGGTACTTTGGAAGGATATTCTAACAGGACAATGGAAAGGTCCTGACCCAGTAATTGTCTGGAGTCGGGGGTCTGTTTGTGTGTTTCCACAGGGAGAACAGCAGCCGATTTGGATTCCAGAGAGATTAACCAAGGTCCTGACCCAGTGATTGTCTGGAGTCGGGGGTCTGTTTGTGTGTTTCCACAGGGAGAACAGCAGCCGATTTGGATTCCAGAAAGATTAACTAAAGCGATTTCTACAGACCAAAAAGAAGATGATTTGGCTCAAATCCATAACAACTGATATCCAAAACTCCAGTTTGGCTATTCTTACATCTGCAACAGAACCAGGATGCTTTTTTCAATGTCTATTTTATTATTGCCCTTTGCCATATCATGAAGTTCTATTTTGTTTTTTGAGCTCATACAGACCTAGGTTAATGTTTTGCTGATCAGTTCTATTTTTTGACTATAGAGTTTTTAAGCATTGCAATGGAGATTTCACCTGTAAAAAGTTATAAGGCCTTTACTATAATGTTATGTGTTGTATGTATTATATTATGTGTGCACACTTGTGTTTTGTGTTATATGTTTGAATGTATGTATGTCCATATATCATATATGATGAGCGCTCATGATAAAATGGATCCAAATATTTTTTTTTTTCACGTGATTTATATGGTTTAATTTAAATTGGGTAAACAACTGTTGAGGATTGTTTTAATATGTAAACAAAAAAGAAGGTTAACAGATCTGTTTGTTTACTTTTACCTTTCCTTTTCATTATATTTAATAATTCTCTTAAAGATAATGTAAATTGTTAAGAAAATTGTTTTCTTTTAGTGCCTTCTGTAGTGTTACATAATTTTTTCTTTAGCCATTATTGCCAGAATTCCTATCTTCATCCCAGTGCCGGTGAAGACAATGTAAATTGTTAAGAAAATTGTTTTCTTTTAGTGCCTTCTGGAATGTTACATAATTTTTTCTTTAGCCATTATTGCCAGAATTCCTATCTTCATCCCAGTGCTGGTGAAGTGAAAGATAAAACCAATCTACAGCTTCTACAATAGCCATCACTGAACTGCTTGCAGAACTTGCCTGGACACATTGTGAGCTCACCTGTATGCATTGTGAACTATCTGTTGGTACAGCGAATTGTGGTAGTGCTGGAGTATTTTTGCTGATGGTGTCACCGGTGGTACAATTTAGGAGCCCTCAATTGGCTTAATGTCATGGCATTTTGCATCCTCCTCTACTAGTGATGGTCTAAAATTTGGGGGCCAACAGAGGTGAGGCAAAGAACCTCACCCCCCCACAGGTGCAAAGGCCTATCCACAAGTATGGCTGTATGCTGGACCGGTAGTCAGTGACGGGTATGATCCAATTGCAGTGGTACCAACCTAAGACAGGAGGCTGACGCCTAGAGGTCAGTTCATCCGATGACGGGTAAGGACCATATGTTGAATTGGACTGCCTAACAGGCACGGTCCCTAAGCCACATGCTTGTTGTTTAAACAGAGAGGGGGAGATGTTGAGAGCCACAGCCAAAGGGGCCCCAGCAAACTTCCAGCTGCCAGCAAACTTCCAGCTGCTGGCTGATGATTGGCTCACAGCGGCCCCAGCAACATCTAGCTGATTGGCTCCTCGGCCCCAGCAACATCTAGCTGATTGGCTCCTCTGCGGTGATGCTCATTGGACTGTTTCCCTGCCCTTTCAGACCACGGAGCTGCTCATTGGGGGACTTTTTTGGCTCCGCCCACGTGACCCAGCCAATCGGCCTCAAGAGCAGGAGGATTGTGGGAGGTGGGGAGAAGCTTGGGTGGGAGAGAGAGGCTTGGGGAAAGCCGGTGGTGGCAGTTGAGGCTCTGAGGGTTTTTCCTGAGAGACTATTTTGTTTGTCGTGTGTGGTTCTAAAAATAAAGTTAGTTTCTTTTGACAAGTGGCTCCTGATTGTGCCCAGCCAGACTGCGGCACCAATGGACTATTTGGCAACCCTTTTAGTAAAACCTTTCTTCTTTTTCTCCTCCTCCTCCTCCTCTACATTCTGCTTCTTCTCCTTCTTCAGAATTGAACCCAAGTGGACTTTACTCTGAGCCACATCTGTAGACTTTTTAATTTTTTTTTATTTTGAGACTCTTATTAAGTTGTTGAAGGCCTTGCTAAGTTGCCAAGTTGGCCTAGAACTTGCAATCTTCCTGCCTCAGCCTCCCTAGGTGCTGGGATTATAGGTATGTGTCAGCATGCCTGTCTTTGACCCCAGTTTTGAGATTAAACAAACCCTGAATCTAACAGAAAATACACCTTCAACATGCCATTATACTTTCATTTTCTTCATCTTATAACTAGTATAATTTATCTCATGGGGTTGGAGCATCCTTGGCTTTGGTATACCATGGTATTCTAATAAGTTTACCAACTTTATATATTTAGAGATGAAGGAAGTATTGTCACATGATAAAAGGCCAAAAAGCCCCTATTGATCTTCTGTGGCAGGACATTGATCCTACAAATCATTTAACCTCTGGAGGACTTGTTTGTCTTTTTAAATCAGGGAACTATCATTTGTCCAAAGTAATTCAAATTTTGGAAAGCATCAAAAGACATGATAAAAAAATGGAGTCCATTTTCACCATGTAAGTTCGTAGATACTCATGACTATTTTAAAAATTGTATTTGGTAACATCACTTTAAACTGTTGAGAAGCTTTGTGATTCCTCTAAATAAAGTTCTTTCTTCAAGCAAATTATGGGCAAAAACTTACCCCATAACAAAATAAAAGCTTCATCATGTCATCTGTACCAATCCCAATTTTAGGAAGAGCCCTTTTTAGGACTTTTGATTTTTCTTAGAAACACTCAGTTCTCTAAGTGCAAATAACCTAAACAATGCCATGTTTGAACCCTGGATCAAAGGTGGAATAATGTCTCTGTTTTTTGTTTTCCTAGAAAATGATTTCTCTTAAACATTTCTTAATAGAAAACAGAATTTATCCACATGTTGGCTTGGATGAATTTGTCTTTGATTTAGCTTCATGGAATCTCTAGGATTTTTGCCACTCTTGTTGATATAACCTTGTTATCAGCATTGCACAGACCATGGCTGACCATTTAATGCTAGGAACTATGGCATAGAGTTCTGTTCCTATCAAAAGTAAAAATGTTCTTGAAGGAAGGAAGGCTTTGAGTCAGCTACTGCCTTTCATCTGTAATACCAACTGGCTTTACTGAAAGAAGTGTAGGAGGCAGGAGAGGAAGGTTCTGATCCTATCTGTGGGTGGCTGTATGACATGAAAGTCAACTGACCTCTTTGGACACAGATCTCCCAGCCTTCAAGTCAGGGTCTGGTAAATCCATAATGACCCTAAGCCAAGGTGCCAGGCTTGTAAAAATACTCACCCTGCAAAAGTAAAGTATCTTCTGTGCCTATAATTCAGGCAATTTCATAGCCATTAGAAGGCAGAACAAAGTCCAGATTTGATGAGGGTAGAACTTGCAGATAACATCAACACAGGACTAAGCATTTTATTCAATGTGAAATTTCCTCTGAACTTCCTAGGATCACTGTAATAACACATCCTTTGCAAAAATTGGACTCAGGTAGATCATGTAACTGCAAGACCTGAACCAGCGTGTTATTTTTTGGATACCTTGGCATTGATATGCTGTATACGGTAACTCATTTTAGGCTGATTACCTGTCTATATTTTCTACTTCAAGAAATGGAGAGTTTGTAATCTTCCCAAATTCCACAGGTAGTGAGGGCAGGGAAATTTAAACTCACCTACACGTCTTTCCGGAAGCCTCCTTGGTGGGGCTTTATGAAACATAGGACATAGGCCACTAATAACAATACCCAACATGCTGTGCTTTCTGTGCATCAGGCCCTGGGCTATGTGCAACAGACACATTTTCTCAAGTCCTCAAACACTACCTTACAAATGATATACTGTTAGCACTTGTTCACTCTTTAAATTAGAGTGGGGGTATATGCTCTGAGACCCAAGGGACAAGCTGCAGGAGGTGGGATTGTCTACTGCCAGACAATCCCCTGAAGCATGGACAAAGGTCTGTGCACATTATGGGGAAAGGAAGTGGTGGGAAGTCTCCTTTTTCTGTCCTTTGTAGATATGAGGCTCCTCTCTACATGCGGTCTCCACATATTGTCCATCCCTGATCTCCCATAGACTTTGAGCCACTTTGTTCCCAGGGATGTGTCTCAATTATCACACAACATTCTTGCCTTCCGCCACACATACCGGGGAAGCGGGAAGAAACTAACTCTAAAGGAGGTCGCAAGCCGCAGAGATCCCCCAGTTTGGAACCGTTAACGAAGGCCCAAGTTCCCGCTCCTGCGAAGCCTGGGTTTCCGCTCAGCGGTCCAGGCCTCAGCGTTCCGGGCCCGAGGCAGAGAGCGCCCCGCTGACCTGGGGCGGGGCCGGCTCCTGGGGGCGGGGCCTGGGGCCCTGGGGGCGGGGTCCGGGGCCCCGGGGTGGGACAGCTAAAGCCTGGGTATTTCAGCAAGACTGACGGGTGGCTTCGCCGCGGCTTCCCTGAAGCTAAGAATCCGACCTTCATGGTCCCGGGGCTCCAGCAGCCGAGATGCGCCTCCACCTGCTCGTGCTGCTCGCGCTGTGCGGGGCGGGCTCTACTTCCGGGGCGCTCAGCTACAGCTTAGGAGGAAGCTGGAGGATCCGCAACGGGAACGGCTCGCTGGATCTGTTGGGGACGGTCCCCGGCTGCGTGCACAGCACCTTGTTCCAGCAGGGCTTTATCCAGGTACAGTGTGCGGAACCTGCGCCCGACTTCCCCGAGTGGTTCGAGGGGCCCAGGGACCGCCTGCAGCCCCCGAGCCTGGCCGTTCTCGTCGGTTTGGCACATAACTTCCTCTTTGCATCTTGTGGTCTGGGAGGCGGGACGGGGGTCGGGGATACCCGGGCAGTGGGGTACAGTCTAGATGGAGACTGACCGACCCAAGCTGGAGATCAGTAATTCAGGAAAGATGAAGTTTAGATTGAGAAAACAATATTTCTATTCGAGGTTTACTTATTGCCATAGTCTCGACAGAAGCGCTATACAAAGGACATGTCACTGACAAGCTTAAGTTGGGAGATGTCTATTCAAACTACCTGGGTGCTGCAGGGGACAATAGCCTTTAGTTAACTAAGAGTTTACCAAGTAATGTCTCAGGTTTTCATTTTTGTTTTTAGGCTACGGAAAGTCAGATTTGGGATTGATAACAGCGCATAGGTTGAGGAGAATGAGACCTACAAAAATAAAACTGGGTTTGTCAGTGCTAGTGTAAATTCTAAATATTTTGTATGGGGGCTGGTGCTACTGGAGTCCTTGCACATGCTAAGGATGCACTCTCCAGCTGAGCTACATCCCTAGCCTTAAAGCCTAAAATAAATTTTAAGATGACTGTTCTATGAGGGAATGTGGCAGGCATGTGGGGTGTATGTGTGCGTGCATGTGTGCTGCACGTGTGTAGGTCCCCATCGCATAATAGATTCTCCAGCTAACTCTGTTAGACTCCTTGGAGGGATGTTTTCTATTTGGCAGCCTGGGCATCTGGGTTTGCAAACAGATATTCATCTTCCACAGCTTGTTCTTCAATTGCTTCTTATTGTTTTCTCACATCTTGTCTTTGCTCAGGGCACCATGTACTTGATGCTATTATAGTTGCCACCCACGTCCCAATCCTTAGAACAACTCTAGTAAGTAGGTGTTCTTACCTGGGTTTTATGGATGATATGGAGTTACCTATCTTAGAAGAAATTAGAGAACAGGCCCAGGATCACACAGCAACGAAGTTGATAGAAATGGAATTCTAATTCAAGTTGGACCCAACTTCATAGTCTAGATTCTATACTCTATTTTGCTTACCAAGGTGTTTTTTTTTTTTTTTTAAATCATGCCTTTTCGAGTCATATAGTTGATCATTAGGAGTATAGTATCATTATAAGTTTACTTCAATGACAGGGTAAAATGTATGATCTGGTACTTGTTAGTACTCACCTGCTTCAGGTGTATTTCAGAAAGGAAGTGAATGTTGTAATAATGAGACTGTCCAGAATGTTCTTAGGGAAATCGTTCTCCAGCTTAAGTACTTTATTTTTAGTTAATAAAGTACTGTGACATGGACCATAGCTGACCTTGGTACCTGTGGCTTAATTATACCTGTTTTGAGAATGCCTGTTTGTGTGCAGGGTCTCTGTTTGCTTTGTTTTAGTAGTAGACTTAAACCAGTGGAAAATCTGAGAGCCCAACTTAACTGTAGAACAGACAGGAATTGCTCACTTGGGTTTGTTGATGGATTGGATGTAAGAAGACAGAGAAAGAGGAGTCAAGTAAAACTTCAGGATTTTTATTTTTTTAATCTAAGCTGCTGGCTAAATGAAATTTGCATTACTGAGAGGCATTGTGACCAGCTTGGCCTGTTTCATAGGTGATTGTTTGGATTTCCTGATAAAAGCCATTCCCTGGGGATTCAATAATTTGATTGTACAAATCAATAATTTGATTGTACAAAGTAGATTGACAATGGGCAGATTAATAGGAGAAAAGGCATATGAATTTGAAATTGCAAGCACAAAGAAACCGTACAAAATAGGAAATTCAAAGGAGGGTCAGATGGTTGAAGCTTAAATACCCACTTCACAGGGGAGAGGGAAGTGAAGGATATAAGGCAATTTTAAAGAAAGAGTAAATGATTTTTAGGGAAGATGAATAGGCCCAAACAACAAACAGTAGTCCAGTGGGAAGTTTGCTTTAGCTTTGAATATGGTGTCAATTCTAGCCTTTTTTTCTTTCTAGTTAATCTTTTGGGGGATCCAGCTTTTAGGTAGATAGGGGAATGTAATGTTTACCACCAGCTAGGCAAGTGGGATAGAAGCCCAGAAACCAAGGAGGACACCTGGAGGTGGGATATGACGTATAGTGTTTATTGAGAAATGTTTACAAGGGAAGTCCAGTGGTGACAGGCTGGACAGCCAGATGTTCACCAGTGGCAATAGGATAGACAGGTGTTTCACCAGGAATTCCAGTTGCAATGGGCTAGACAGGTATACCTCTGCTCCATGCAGTGCCTTCTATACCTCCCCAGAAAGCAACGCGTCTCTATACCTCAGGATGCTTCATCCAGGGCCAGCTTCCTGGACAAGCACTTCCCTCTGCACAATGCTCTGATCTGTTCCATTATTGCAGGGAGAGAGTTTTATAGTTTAGGTTACAGAAGAAGCATCACCTTAGCTTGCTTTGTCCTATTGTATTAGCAACATCCCAAGGAACTTGGTGTGCCTTCAAGAAGGCAGCTCTCTACAGATAACATTAACTTTGTCCTAATTCCCAGCATACATGAGAGTCAGTGTCCTTCAAGAAAATGTATTATCCGGGGATGGGACTCAGTGGAAGAGGGCTTGCCTCACATGCACCAGGCCCTGGATTCAATCCCTAGAACTATAAAAAAAAATAGATAATATGTATCTGGACATTTCTTTCAGACTCTCTGTATTAGTTTCCTTGACTTGGCTAGATATTTAGGAATAGAAAGGGCCATTCAGTGACATGGTGTTTTACTGTCCCCCGTTCTTTAAGGATGGCACAGGGGAACTTCAGAAAAAGCCCCTTTCTGCACTTTGGGAGGCAAAGAGGAGGAGAGATGGGGGGAGAGTTGGGGTTTGAGGGGTAAGAGTAGATGTTAAAGGTCAGATAGACCTTAGTTCTATTTTGGGGTATGGTTTTCTGAGCCCAACAGGTATCTTGGAGAGATTGCACTCCCTATTATTTATTTGGCCTATTATGTCATGCAATAATAGGCATTAGAAATAGCAAGGAAATGAATAAGACTCGAGTTTCTATTTTGTGAGAATTTAGTGAGGCAGAAACCTTACAAATTGCTGTATAATATGAGAAGTGCATAGATAAGGGGACTCTTTTGTTAGGAATGTTCTCAGCTTTCCTGTGCAATTTCTCATTGGTATAAATTTTGAAAATATTCTTTTTTTAAAAGGTATTTTTAGTGTGCCCAAATTGGAAGATATAAATAATAATAAGAAAAGTTGTAAACCTGACTTCCAGAGATAACCACTATTAAAATTTAAAAAGATATTATGTCCATGTTATTCAGTGTCAATTGGAGATAATAAGTTCATAATCTGAATTAATAAATATTAGTGTTGGGCTAGGGTTGTGGCTCAGTGGTAGAGCACTTACTTAGCATGTATGAGGCACTGGGTTCGATTCTCAGCACTGCATATAAATAAAGGCATCAAAACTAAGAGAGAGAGAGAGAGAATATTGCTTAAAAAAGATATTATATCTATTCAGAACTTTTCTATACCTACACATTTATAAGTATTTAAACATATGGTTTAACAACTTTTTATATTTAGTATTTTGTGATACTCATATTTAGTAAGCATATTTCTACAAACCATGCTTAATGACTCTTTTCTTCCACTGTACTAATTTACCTTCATCTGTAATCCATCACTTATTATTGGATGATTAGAGCTGACTCCATCTTTTTCTGTTTATAGGGAACTATCCTTTAAACTAAATTTTAGTATATATCCTTATTTTCTTAGACAAATATTTAGAAAAAGAATAGCTAATTCAAAGAGAATGCAGTTTTAAAGTTTTTGTATGCACTTCTAAGTTGTTCATCATAAAACTATACTAATTGTACACTCCCATAATCATTTTATCAGATTGCTTATTTTAGGTGCTAGCTTTGAATATTAGTTAAAAGAAACAGTAACAACAAAATCAGTTTACATGTTTTCTTTGATGTGCAGATGCCAATTCACAATAAAGGGATGGGGCTAGGGAAGAGGTACTTTGGATTAGGTACTTTGAATTACGCCCAGGGGAGTGAAAGGAGGGGAGGGAGTATGGGGGTAAGAATGACTGTAGAATGAATGGGACATTAACCTATGTGCATACATGATTACATGACCAGTGTAACTCCACATCATGTACAACCAGAAGAATGAGAAGTGATAACTCGGTTTATATATGATGTGTCAAAATGCATTCTACTATCACGTGTAACTAATTAGAACAACAACAAAACCCAATTTACCTTTTAGTGAGGTTAAATACTTTTGATGTGTTTATTGACTATGTTTGCTAGTCATTTTGGGGTTATTCATGTTCTTTATTTATCATCTTTTTAAATACAAACTTTAAGATCTTTTTACAAGTTACGTATTTTCGAAGATTTCCCATTTATTAATGATATATTTTTCATGTAGCTGTTTTAAAGTTTTATATAGATATATTTAAAAAAATTTTGTAGTTATATATGGATAGAATGCTTTTATTTTATTTGTGGTGCTCTAAGGATCAAACCTAGTGCCTCACATGGGCTGGGCAAGCACTCTGCCACTGAACTACAGCCCCAGCCCTATAGAAATATTTTAAGTTTATTCTTTTTTGATTGTTACTTTGGTCAGTGTATTAGTCAATTTTCCATTATTATAATGAAGAACTGAGACTGGGTACTTAATACAGAAAAAGATAGTGTTTATTTAGCTAACAGTTTTGGAGGCTGAAGTCCAAACAGCATTTGCTAGCTCTGCAGAAGTCCTGTTGGCTGTGTTACATCACTGCAGATGGCATCACAGGGCAGCCTGTGTGAGGCAGGAGAGCATAAGGGCAGGGGCCAATAAAAACCTCCCACCAGGCTCCATCTCTTAAAGGACCCACCACCTCCCAACATCCAAACTTACACACAGGAACCTTTGGAGAACAAATTACATACAAACCATAAAAGA